CCTCAGCCTCCCAAGTGCTGGGATTACAGGCGTGCGCCACCACACCCAGCCAGAGGGGTCTTTTGGTCTGGAAGAGGCAACTCATGAAGCAGCAACCTTTGAGAGCTGATGACAATAAAAACAAAACAAAACAAACAAACAAACAAACAAAACATCAAAACCAAATAAAATGAAGACATCTCTGTGGGTGCTAGTGTGACTGGATGATCACATCAGACCAGCCCGCTCCTCCCAGGCACTGGCACCTTGAAAGGCAGTATGGCTTCTGATTCAAACATAATTCTAAGGAAAATGCAGATGCAGGGAACTGTTAAGTGATTGTCCCTGAGTTTCTGCCACTCTGGCTGGATGGGTGAAACAGGAATCCAAAGTAAGTTAAAGTTCAAGTGCTATTTCCTACATATCAGAAATTACAACCAGGAGATTGGGCGTGATGGCGCATGCGTGTGATCCTAGCATTCAGGAGGCTGAGGCAGGAGGATCACTGTGAGTTCCACGTGAGCCTGGGCTACATAGAGAGTTCAAGGCCAGCCTGGACTATATAGCAAGACCATCTCAAAACACACACACACACACACACACACACACACATTGCAACCAGGAGCCAGGACTGTTGATCACTTGCAGGCCCAAGGTTGGGGATGTGGAGGCAGAGAGAGATAGAGAAAATTATAATCGGCACTCCTTGCCCACAATGTGTCATTGCCCTGGCCCCCATTTGTCGATGTCACCTGCCTCTCTCCCCTCTATGGCAGTCACAATGGTACTGTCATCCACCCTAACCCTAACCTTTCCCCATTCAGGACTTTTGTACTGGAAGTTTCCTATGCTTTCCCCTGGCTCTTGTAGTTCAAGCTGGCTTTGAACTTTCAGCAATCTTCAGCCTCCTGAGTCCTGGGATCGCAAGTGTGCATCACCACATCCAGATTCCCCTGGTTCTTTAAATTTCAGGCTCCTTAGTTTAAATTTCACTTCCTCAGACCACTTTCTAAAAAAAACGAAACCACTTCTATTATTCTCTCAGAGGACCCTGTTTTTCCTCCACAGCATCTGTACACATTTTTACTTTGTTGTTTTATTATCTGTGTTCCCTACTAGAATGTCAGACACCTAAGTGCAAGCCTTTGTTTACTTCCCCCCACCTCCACTCTGGGGAATGAACCCATGTCCCGTGCACTGAATTAAATCTCCAGTCTCACTTATTTATTATTTACTTATTTTTAATTTTTGTTTGTTTGTTACGGTCTCACTATGTAGTTCAGGCTTGCCTCAAACTCCTGGCAATTCTCCTGCCTCATTTTCCCAAGTGCTGTGATTCCAGGTATGCACCAGCACCACACCTGGCTTATATTTTTAAAATTTTAAATCAGTCTTGCTAAGTGCTCAGGCTGGGTTCGAACTTGTGATCCTCCTGTCTCAGCTTCCCAGGACCCTGGGATCACGGGTATGCACCCCTGTGCTTAGCTCCTGTCCATGTTGATGTTCCTTCAGGTGTTACCAGCGCACTTGGGACACTCGATGCTGTGAAATGACAGACCGGTACAGTCAGGGAGTTCTTAGCTTCTCATAGGCTGGTGGGCACTGAGCTTTCTGGGCCTCAGCCTGGGCCCTTGATAGCCTTTGCCACAGTCCAGGACAGACTACAAAAGACCCCTATACTTGGGGCTTGCAGTCAGTCAGCTTTGCTCTCGGCCAGATGCTTGACTGGAGTGTGCCTCAGCAGGGCCTGGTTCCCTTCCTCCCCAAGAAAGACAGATGGCCTAGTAGAGTCCGGCGGAGGATGGGGAAGGGCCATGTTCCTTAAGTGACTTCCCTCGCTGGCCCTGATGAGGCTGGAGAAGAGCCTGGTGCACCATCCAAACCTCAGAGCAGACCTTTCCTCTACGCCTAGGCCAACCCCCCTGGCAGGAGCCCCCTTCAAGTCTACGAATATGGACAAACACGTGTTTCTTTTACCTGGGGTCACCTTGTGTCTTAGCTGCTTTCTTGTTGCTGAGACGCAACATCTGAGACCCACATGTCTAAGGAGGAAAGGTTTATTCTGGCTCAGTTTGTAGCGGTTTCAGCCCATAGTTGGGTTCCTCCAAGGGAGGGTGTCACGGCAGAGGACAAAGAGCTCATGGCATGGCAGGGAACCAGAGGGATCGAGGGGAGGAGAGAGACCCTTCAAGGCCACACACCCATCGACTCACCTCTTCTGACCAGATCCTACCTGCTAACAGCAAGCCAGCTATAAGTGCCCATGATCCAATCGCCTTCCCAAAGCCCTACCACCTGTGGGCACATGAAGGCTTGGGGGACATTTTAGGGATAAACTATCATACCTTGTGAAGCCAGTTCCCTTAAGTCTGTCAGAGGGCTCTGGAAACTCAGGGAAGTGGTTTTCTCCCTGCTGGGACTGTCTGTTCTCTGAAGGCAAAGAGCTGAAGGGGCTTCCAGGACCTCTAGGCAAAACGAATCATCACAGCACGCAGAAGTCATGGTATGCGGGTGTTCACAACACAGATTCCGGGCTCCAAGAATCTGGTTGAAGCTTAGAGTCAGAGGGAATCAGGAAAGCTCATTTTCTACACACATCCCAGCTGGTTCTGAGGCGGTCCCAGGACAACGCTTCCACAAAGACCGAGCTAGGCCATGAATGCAATGTCTTGATTGTTAAGGGTCAATGAACACTCTTCTCTCAAATCTCAAAAAACTGAAGTGCCTGAAGGTCTGAGGCCTCATTCCAAATTCAGGCAGGCACTGCTGAAGCTGAATCTTATCTCGGTCCCTTCTGGCCACCTCCTTCCCTGCCTAACTATAAGATCCTCAGCAATCCTCCTGCCTCAGCCTCCCCAGTGCTAGGATTACAGGCGTCTGCCACCACACCCAGCCACAACATGAGTTCTGCAGAAGGTCCTGCACCTGGCAGGTGCTCTGTGCCTGATAAACTCTCTGGCTCCACAGGACACAGTAAATGTCACTGAGATGGTTGTTTGTGGTGGGTTTAGAAAGACCATAGGGCAACCACCAGAAAGATTTGGGTTCTAACCCAGAGTGCCAGAAGACTCTCAGAATCCAGGACTGGTTTCTTGCTTTTGGCTGAATTCCCATCCCCAAGGGGAGGGCCCAGAATGCTCAAACCTCTGTGTTTTGGGAAACAGCAAAGAGATCAACTGCCTCTTCAACAGGTATCTGAATAGAAACACAACTTTCCACCTGACCCCACTAAAGTATTCTCTGACTACAGTTCTCTTGTCTTTCCTACATATGAAAATCACCCAGGAAATTTAACAGTCCTGGCGTAGTAGGGTATGGTGGTACACCTCTGTAATCTCAGAACTCTGGTAGACTGAGGCAGGAGGATCACAAGTTTGAGCTCAACCTGGGCTATTTAGCAACCTAGTGAGACCCTGTGTAAAAACTGAAAAATAAATATATATATAAAAAAGTAAGTCCTGGTGCTTGGGCCACACCCCACACCAACTCAACATGAATCTGAGACGGGAGGGGGCAGGCAATTCATGAGACCTACGATAGGGCACCAACAGGAAGCCCAGCATGTAGCGGGGAAAGCACAAGGTGGACTTGTTTGTACTCAAGTCTGGTTTCATGAGAAAATGAACAGAACTGCAAGAGAAACGCGGAGTTAGGGGTGACTCAGGCCAAGCATACTTAATAACCTTTACTGGGAGACAGCTGAAAACTACCTGACAAATTTCCTAAATCAGTATATCATAGTTGGGTACAAATGATCAAAAAGGGGGATTGTCACCGACCCCAAGGTCACAGGCAGACAGACAGGATTCTGGGTCCCAGGGTGGCGAGCTGAGGGGTGGAACCCGTGACAGGCAGCTGTGGCAAGTGCTGTCTGTGCCATACCAGGTTCCAGGCAGGGAGGGTTAGCAAGGGTTGGCTCAGAACACGGGAGGAACCTGAGTTGGTGCTAGAACTTGCTGAGAATGTAGCCTTACTTATATTTTTTCGTGGGAAACTCCTGCCGGCCTCGGCCCTTGCTGCCGAAGTTTCGCACTCGATGGATGATCTGCAGCTGCTGCTCGATGGTAGCAGTGATGTTCACGTCATCTGGGATGTGGACATAGCGGACATTTCGGCCCGTTACGAAGAGGTCATCCAGCTCAGCCCGGTGCCCCCGACGGTCCGTGTAGGTGACCTGGGCCAGGCGGATGTTCATGAAAGCGTCGACGTTGTCGATGCGTCCGTGGGCCACACTCTCATCCCGGAGGTCCACGGTGGTCACCTGGCCCTGGAGGCCCTGCAACAGGATGATCAGGCTGTTCTCGGAGATGGTCCGCTCCTTCACCGAGTGGCTCACTGCCATGTTTCCACGCCGGCCGGCTGCTCGCTGTGGGCAGAAGCACACCGACGGGAGCTGTAGCTGGTGAAGGGCCGCGCTGCCAATTCACCTTCACCAGCTTCTCAAAACCCCCAGCACCGGCCTTCCCCGTCCTGACCAACTCCCCAGGTCCGGCCTTCGCAGATACAGGTTTCATACACGCATCTCAGATTACTCAGATCACTTTGCAAGCCAAAGATTATGTGCACCTCTTTTATAGATGGGGAAAATATGGCAAGGAGAGACCGAATCATTTTTATAACTTGCCCAAAATCACCTAAGTGCTAAATGGAGGTGCTAGGATTCAAATCCATAGCCGCCTAGCCCCAGATCCCACACCAGTGGTTCTGAGTCTTCATGGTACATTAGAACCACCTCTTGAGGTGAGGTTGTTTTGCTTTTTTAAGACAGGGTCTTGATATGTATTCCAGGCCTGAACTCAAGGCAATCGCCCTACCTTGGCCTTCCGAGTGCTGGGATTACAGGCATTTGGCACTATGCCTGGCCAACTTGGGAAATTTTTACCTGGCCTCCAGATCTCCAAGATTCTGATTTATTGGGTTGGGGGGGTGAGGCCCAGGTATCCTAAATTTAACAGTTCCCCGGGTAATTCTAATGTGCGGACAACCATGAGAACCACTCCCCTAAAGTAGTTTACATCTTTGCTACAGAAATAACAAGGGCTGTGGACTGGCATCCTCACGGCAGAAGTGCATAGGCTTGGTTCTTGCCAGGCCTGGTGGCACACGCCTGTAATCCTGGCACCTGGGAGGCTGAAGCAGCGGATTGTCACGAGTTGGAGGCCAGCCTGGGGCTACATAACGAGGTCAAGGCCAGCCTGCCTTACAAAGCAAAAACCTGTCTCAAGGAAAAAAAATCGGGGTCTCTCTATAGACCTAATGAAACAGAATTGACCCCCCCCCTCTGTTAATTAAGACAGGTGTTAAAAATTGGAAATCAGGTGGATGTGCCCCAGCACTTTGGGAGGCTGAGGCAGGAGGATCAAAAACTTGAGCAAAGAGGCAACTTAACCATTTAGTTAAGACCCAGCCTAAAAAAAAAAAAAAAAAACGAGGGGAGGGAAGAAAAGGAGAAGTAAAAATTAAGACTTGTGTACATGTGCCAACTCCCCATGGTGAATGTAATTATTATGTACTACAAACATGTAGTAATAAAAATTAACATTTTAAAAAAGGTCAACCTTCTTGGAGAGCAAATAAATAAGACTGGGGATGTAGCTCAGTGTGAAGGCCCTGGGATCAATCCTCAATTCTGCAAAACAAGAACAAAAAAGGGAATCATTGGTTGACACCAATTCAAAGGTTAGTGTGCATTAGAATCACCTACAGGGCTTGTTAGATCACAGACTGCTGAGCCCCATCCCCAGTTCCTGACTCAGTGGGTCTGAGCTGGGGTCCAGGAATGAGCAAAAGACACACGTTACCAGATGAGGTTGCCAAAGGGCCCACACTGAGTGGCCTATACAGTGCAATGGCCACGTACGTAAACATTTAGATAACTGAAAAAAAAGTCTATAAAGTACAATTTATAATGTCCAAGTTTTGAAGGTAGAGGAACTGAAAACCTAGGTTTTTCCACACCTCTGTAGGACAGTTACTTACTGTCTCTGAAACTGTTTCATTTGTTAAACTATAGGCTAAATAAGGACCACCAGAATCTCACTTTAGCAAGGGCACTTTCCTTGTCTTTCAACAAGCCTTGACAGTGAGTAACTGTCACATGGACAGTGAATCCATGTCTTATTTTCAGACCCTGAGATGAAGGTGGTACATTCTCTCCTTAAAACCTCATTAAGAATCCCACCAAAGCCAGGCGTGGTGGGGCACGCCTTTAATCCCAGCACTCTGGAGGCTGAGGCAGGAGGATCGCTGCCTGGGCTACATAATGAGTTCCAGGTCAGTCTCAAAAATCCAAAAATAAAAAACAAATAAATAAAAAGGGCTCTAGCTATGATATAAAGAAAAAAAAAAAAGAAGAATCCCGTCAAAGCCAGGAGTGGTGGTGCACACCTGAAATCCCAGCACTCGGGAGGCTGAGGCAGGAGGATCGCTGTGAGTTCGAGACCAGCCTGGGCTAGATAGTGAGTTCCAGGTCAGCATCAACTACATAGTGAGACCCTGTCTCAAAAAACAAAACAAACAATCAAAAGAGTCTCACCAAGGCTCTGCGTGAGGCATTAAGTGTGGCACCACTGTGAGGGAGTGGGAGCTGGGTCCTGGGAAAGGTCTAACAACCTCCCCCCTCAGCCTTCAGTCTGAGACTGATCCAGCAAAAGTCTAGGGCCGCCCTAAGACTGCAAAGCGCAGCCACTGGACCCCTAGACAGGCCTGGGCTCTGGGACAGGTTCAGCCACTTTCTAGGAGGAGAACTTCAGCCAGCCAATGGATTCTTCGCTCTTTTAGCCCACGGGTAAGATGGGGCTGCAGAGGCCCCTCTGCGCGCGGAGCAGCAGGAATGGATGTCGGCAGAGAAGCCACTATGCAAATGAGGGAGATTACTCCCGCGTTCCCTGCGCTCTGCCAACCCGGACCCACCACGCCGGATTCCTTCGCTTCCAGTGCCCGCGATCCCGCCGCAGCTCGCTGGCGCCTAGCTGGGTTGTCTGCCGCCGCCACCTCCTCGCTGAGAAGTCACGGCCACGCCGGCCATCGGAGATCTTCACCCTAAGCGATTAGGTGCGTCAGGCCGAGTCTTCCGGGGGTCTCGCCGTAGACTACAACTTCCAAGAAGCTGCGCGCCAAGGGCACGCAGAGCGTCCGGCGCGCGGTGGCGTCATCCTGGGCTGTGTCGCGGACTACAAGCTCCGGGAAGCGGCGCGCTCGGACACGCCCCCAGCTCGGCTCGGCGCATGCTCATTGTGGGGGGGGGTCATCAGGAGCCGAGCACCAGAGCAGACCAGGGACCAGGAGCTGGTGTTTTTCCGAACTGATGGTGAGGCTGGAGAGAGAGAAAAACTGGGAAAATAGTATAAACGTTCTTTAGCTGATTAAAATAGCGTGATGTCATAGTGACTGTTGGTAACCTTTTATTAGAAGATCAGGGATGTCCTAAAGTTACATTTGAGCCGAAATGAGTGATATGAAACTAGGCCAAAACCAGGAGGGCAGTTGCAATTCGAGAGCATGGTTTATACAAAGGAGGTTTTAGAAATGACCTTGACAGTGGTGTCAACAGAAAGGCTAGTAAGGCTGGGGAGAGCAGAGTAGTAAGGAAGCGCGAGAGAAAGCAGGAGCCCCAGCCTTTAGGAATTTGTAAGTCAAGAAAAGTTCGGATTTCATGGTTAGAAGTACAGGAACCTAGGTCCAAATCGGCCCTTTGCTGTGTGACTTAATGCAAATTAACTATCTTCTCTCGGTTTCCTCATCTAATACCAGTAGTGCACTGATAGCTGTCAAAGGACAGTGTCCTCTCCCTCGCTTTCTTTCTTCTGACACTGGAGATTGAACCCAGCGTCTACCACATTCAAGGCAAGCGCTCTACCACTGAGCTGCATCCCCGGCCTTTTCTATTAAATTAAATTTGAAAAAAAAGCCAGGCATGGTGGCACACACCTGTAATTCCAACACTCTGGGAGGCTGAGGTAGGAGGATTGAAAGTTTGAGCACAGCCTGGGCAATTTAGTGATTTAGCAAGACCCTGCCTCAAGAAAATAAAGGGTTAGGGATGTAGTTCAGTATGAAGTCCTTAGGTTCAGTCCCCAGAGGTCAAACGACAACACACAGTCACAGCAGCAAAACAAAAACCGGGTGGTCTAAGGCAGGAGGAAAGATGATTGGAATTAAGAAAAGGGAAGTAGTTAGTGATCCGTATGTGCCTAATCAAACTTCTCTATAGGATGCATGTTTAGAAAATGGAGGCATTAGTGCGCCCTAAGGGTGTTTTTGGCCCTCTTTCATCAAAACAGCGCCCATCAGACCCTTGCGCAGGCCCAGAAGGGTCAGTGGTTTCAACTGGTTTGAGCTAACTCCAGGTTTCTGAAAGACAACCTAGGCAGTTATCTTCAGGAACGTCTGTGAGAGGTGTTCCCTGTAAAACCTCTGGGTTGCATGGGAGTATACTGCTTAGCTATGTGACCTCTAAAATTGGTGATAAAGCAAGTGAAGCTAAAGTTTTATTAGGTTTTCTCTGGTATAAGTATCTATCTCTGTGCTGTGTTCTATAGGATTTCTTTTTTCTTTTTTTTTGCAGCGGGGGGAGATCAGACTTGGGACCTTGGGCTTGTGAGGCAGGTGGCAGAACCACTGAGCTAAATCCCCAGCCTTTTTTTTTTTTTTTTTTTTTTTTGGTGTTTTGAGACAGGGTCTCACTATGTAGTCGAGACTGACCTGGAACTCACTATGTAGCCCAGACTGATCTCGAACTCACACAGATCCTCCTGCCTCAGCTTCCTGAATGCTGGGATTACAGGCATGCGCCACCACGCCCAGCTTCTGTATGATTCTGAATCCCCTATGTCTCCAGCCCAGACTGCTGTACAAATCTTTTACTAAGTATCTGTTGCTTATTCTTCTGCCTGAATGGTACTTGAAATTCACCATGTCTGTAAGATGTATTCAAGTCCCTCCCAAAGCAGTTGTTCCTCTGAAGTTTCTCATTTCTGTGGTCGTTCCAACCGTTTTTTAATTATCTAAAGTTGGGCACCTTGAGTAACCTTGACAACTTTCTAGCATTTCTTTTCTTTTGTAGTGCTAGGGATTGAAGACAGGGCCTTTGCACTGAGCTAATTCCCCAGCCCATTTTTAAATTTATGTTTTAGTTTGAGACAGGATCTTGCTAAGTCTCTAAATTGCAGAGGCAGGGTTCAAACTTGGGATCCTCCTGCCTCAGCTGCCCAAGGTGCTGGGATTACAGATGTGCTCTACCACATCCAGCTTTTACTTATCTTTTTGTTCCAACTCCCTCTATCGCATTTGATTTTTTTTTTTTTTTTTTTTTTTGAGACAGGGTCTAAACTATGTAGTTGAGACTGACCTGGAACTCACTATGTAGCCCAGGTTGGTCTCAAACTCACAGATCCTCTTGCCTCAGCCTCCCGAGTGCTGGGATTACAGGTGTGCGCCACCACACCCAGCCCTTCTCTCATTTAATTCCTTATAAATACTATCTCACTGGTCTTTGTATCTTACAATTCTTTGCCAACAGACTCAAAGTACAGTTCTGATCTTATCATTTACCTGTTAAATGATCTTATCATTTAAATGCTAAGAACACTTTCAATTAACTAGCAGAATAAAGGCTCCATAGCTGACATTTAAGGCCTTGCATGATTTGATTCTCATCTGCCTTCTGCCTGGATCTTCTTAAATTTTCTCTCCATTCTCTCCAGTCCGTGTATGGCCTGGGAACCCTTTGTCTCAACATGATCTGGAATGCTCGTTAGATCAAACTCCAGACTTTCAGACTCTGAAGTGGAGCCCAGAATCTGCACATCTAACATTGTACACTAAAGCTGAAACCTTCTCTGGTAAGACGCAGCCACTCAGCAGTGTTCAGATGAGCCTACACCCCTCCCTGCCTTTGCTATCCTGCACCATCTGCCTTGGCTTCTTTCTTGTTTATCCTCAGATGTTACACACCCAATCCCTCCTGGGAAGCCCAGTTCAATTGCTACATCTTTCTGAAGTCAGTGGTCCCTGCAGGTGGAGTAATGTGTCTGGCTCCTGTAGCCTGCCGGTTGCACCTTTCCTTGTTTGCTCGTTGCATGCAGATGCACCATAGTTTTTATGTAAATCTTACCCTCCTTACTAGTCTCTTATTGTTGGGACAGGGACAAGACCTTAGGAGGCCCAAAGGCTTCACACCATAAACCACAATTACATGGAGAACCCTGGTTTTATGAGTGTGGTGAGACGGAGGTAGGAATCTAAATGAAGGTGGTGACAGTGGGCAAGGAAAGGAGGAATAAACATTAAAGTCCTTGAAAAGTGCCGATCAGAATTCCCGGAAGCTGACCACATCTGGAATGTGGCTGGAAGGAGAGGAACGGACGATCTAAATGTAGACGCTAAGCATCCAGAGAGGGGGGGTTTAGAAGCTTGCCAGGAGCTTCTCGGGCTCTGGAGACCTCGTATGGGTTCTGAGGAGAAAGGCTCAGGACACATTCCGTGTGCGTGTGAACTTTAGTGGGAGGTGAGGCTCTGCCTCCCACAACAGATGCTTTAAAGTCAAGATGCTGTCTTTGAACCATGTGAGCCATGGTAGGGCTTATGACCTGCACTCAGGCATTATCAAGCGCGAAATCTAGAGCAAATAACAAGCCAGCAGGGTCTGTCTCGACTTTGTCCTGGTGTCTGTGTGACTGGGTGCATTATTCCCAGCGCCGGTGTCTTTCCTCACTGTCTACCCTTCCTTTGTTCCTTTCTGAGGGTCTCTAGTCTTCCAAAAAACTCTTCTAATTGCTTGAAGCCCGGTCAGTGAATTTTTTCTCCCCTTCCTTCCCTGCACTGGGGTATGAACCCAGGGTTTCCCACTTGCTGCTAGGCAAGTAGTAAGTAGCTTTACCACTGAGCTCCACCCCAGCCTATTTTATTTATTTGGCTGGTTGTTTTTTTTTAAATTTAAAGACAAGGTCTTAGTAGGATAGTGCACGCTTGTGATCTTAGCAGCTGGGAGGATGAAGCAAGAAGACGCCCATGAGTTTGAGGCCAGCCTGGGTCACATAATGACTTTAAGCACAGCCTGAGCTACATAGTGTGACCCTGTCTCAAAACAACAGCAACAGAAAACTGTTTTAGGTGTGGTGGTGCATGTCTATAATCCTGTAGTTGTTTTTTTTTGTGTGTGTGTGTGTGTTTTTTGGTACCGGGGATTGAACTGGGGTCCTTGTGCTTGCAAGCAGGACACCGAACCACTGAGCTAAATCCCTGGCCCTATAACCCTGTAGTTGGGAGCTGAGGCAGGAAGATTGCTGTGAGTTTGAGGCTAGCCTGTGCCACATAGTGAGTTCAAGTTCAGCCTCAACTACATAGTGAGACCCTGTCTCAAAAACCAAACCAAAACAAAACAAAAGCAAACAATCAAACCAAGCCAAAATAAAACAATGAACGCAAAAACGGCAAGGTTTTGTTCAATTACCCAGGCTGACCTGGAACACACTCTCCTGCCTCAGCTTCCTGAGTAGCTGAGATTATAGGTATATGCCATGGTACTTGGCTCTCTTTCTATTCAGATGGCTAGAAATTTTTTTCCTGGTACTGAGATCGAACTCAGGACCTTGCACTTGGAAGGCAGGTGTGCTGCCACTCAGCTAAATCCCCAGCCCCTTGAAGGTGCTCTCCTTTTCTCCCTCCCTCCCTCTTTCTTTTTGGCAGTGGGGATCGATCCCAGGATCTTCATACTGAGAAACATACCTTTTTTTTTCTTTTTCTATTTTTTTAACTTTTAAAATTGTATTAATACATCCTTGGAGTACATGCAGTTTAGTCATCTTGGGGAGTGAGTACAGGTACATATTAAAGCTTGTTTCTTTTTCTCACCCCCCATTTTTTTTTTTTTTAATTTGATGGTGCCAAAAAGTTTAATTGAAAAGTGTGGGGTAAATGGGTATGGGAGAAAAAAGCTCAGCGGAACAAACTTGGGCCAAACAAAGAGAAAAAATGGTTAGAAGCAAAAGTGAAAGTACACACCACTTCTAAGAAACAGTGCTGGCTACCGTGCAAACTCACGCACAAAAGCCACCCCCATTTCTTTTTTGAAACAGGGCCTCAATCACTGAGTTGTCCGGGCTGACCTCAAACTCTGGCACTCCAGTAATCTTCCTGCCTCAGCCTCTCGTTTGTGGACGACAGGTGCACACCACCTCATTTGGCTTCTTCACGCCTTTCTGAAGTGAAGTAAATATGATAAAAGTAAAAGTGACTTCAGTGTTAGACTCTGAGGTGTGAGGGGATGAGGAACATTAGGTGCATCCGCATGCAGTACAGGCAGGAGAATAATGATAACAGCACAGAGGTAACGGTCGAAGGTCACAGCTCTGGGGAAGAGTGATGCACAACAGCTTGTGGAAGGGTGAACCCAGGGCGTGCGGCTGGAATGGCGCTGGGGCCAGAATCGGGAATAGGGAGAGGGTGAGAGAGATAAGGAATGGGAAACAAGGCCAGGAGTGAAGTACGGATCCCTTGGCACTTCGCCTTGCCAATTTGATTTCTGTTTTGGTGCCGGAGATGGAACCCAAGGCCGAGTGCGTGTTCTCCACTGCTGGGTCTTCAGCCCCTTGCTTGCCACTTTCGTAGAAGGCTGCGCGGAACGGTGTCATCCAGGGCCCCCCGCAAGCAGAAGGCGCGGAGGGAGAGGGAGGAGGTCTGGTCAGAAAGGAATATGAACGGAACCGCGAAAACCGAGGGTTGGGGGAGTTTTAGGAAGAGAAGAGTGTTGAGCGGGCCCAGAGCTTTCAGAAACGGGAGTCGAGCTGTGCAGGGTGAGGCTGTGCGGGGGAAGCAGGGGCCTGGGGGTCGGGGAAGGCGCGGGCCCCCCCGAGCCCACTGTACTCGCCATGGCTGAGCTCTGCCCCTGCAGAAGTGAAGGTCGCTGCTTCTGTCAGCAGAGGCGCCGCCGGCCAGAAACCGAGAGAATCCGGAGTGCACGCAAGCATGCGGTGGTGGCGGTGACAGGGAGAGTCACGGCCCTCACGTAATCCCCGGTCCTTTCCCGTGGCCCTTGGGGTGCATGGGCAGCCTCACTTGAGGAAAAGCGAGTTTCCTCCGCCTCACACCTCAAGCTGTGTCGCAGAGGCAGCGGAGTGGCGGCGAGGTTCCCTTACTCCAGCTCCTGCTGCTGCTGGCCAGGAGTTTAAATACCCGAAGTATCCAGGGGACCATTTAAAGGGAGCAAGAGGCAGGGAAAGGTTAGACTCATTTTCAGATTTTCTATTTATTTATTTTTATTTTTCTTGTACCGAGGATTGAACACAGCGCTTCCACGCTGAGCTACATCCTCGGCCCCTTTTCTTTTTTTCCTCATTGAGTTTATTGGCACATTTTAGGGATACAGTACAGTTACATTCATCTTTGGGATCTTGTACCTCTACCTGACAGGTGTTGGTTCTCATTTTCCCCCCTCGTCCCTGCCCTCCCTTCACCCCTCCTCCTCTCCCCCTTTACAAACACTTCATTTCCATTTTTTCATTTTCTCATATTTTTTTCTTTTCCCTTATTAGCTTTCTCCTACCCTTCCCACTTTCCCGAAACCTTTAGCCTCTTTCTTCCTATTTCACATTGTCAGTTATATTGTTAGGATCTTATGTACTATTGATTAGAGATTATGCGGGCTGAGGATTTAGCTCAGTGGTTCTGGTGCCTGCCTCACAAGTGCAAGGACCTGAATTTGATCCCTGGTACCAAAAAAAAAAAAAAAAAAAAAGAATCTGCTCTGGTGTGAATAAACTATAATTTTTGGGTTTTTTGAGACAGGGTCTCGCTACGTAGTTTAGACTGCTCTGGAACTCACTGTGTATCCCAGGCTGGTCTCAAACTTGCAGGGATCCTCCTGCCTCAGCCTCCCTAGTGCTGGGATTACAGGTGTGGGCCGCCACGCCTGGTTCAAACTTTTTTCTTTCTTAAAACAGAAAAGTTCCCCAGGCTAGTCTAGAACCCACCATTCTTGTACTTCAAGCTTCAAGCAGCTGGGATTACAGACACATGACACCATGTCCAGTTTAGTTTTCAGACTTTGAGTCTCTAAAATCCTAGATTATAAACTGGGGGTGGTAACACACACTTGTAATCCCGGCGCTGGAGAAGCTGAGTGAGTTTGAGGCCAGGCTGAACTACATAGCAAGACCCTGTTTCAAAGAAAACAAAAACAAAAGCCCCAAAAACCCAAACACTCAAAAAGATTTGAGGTTATGCTAAGGCTATATATGTTCTAAAGATTTGCATTTCTTTCTAATGGTTCCTTTGGCTGGACAGTGTGGCTATCATCATACTGGATGTAAATCAGGGTGACTAGTCTGATGATTGCAAAGACACATGACAAGGGCATCTGATCAGTACAGCGGGGTGCCTCGGACTGCCATGCTAAAATGCTTCTCTCCTCCTGGGATTTACATCTAAGGAAAAAAGTAACTTTTACCTTTAGAAGCTGTTAGATGCTTATATGGACTACAAGAGAAGACTTTTCTCCTATAATTAAAGGATAAATTAATTTATTTCATTTTTTCCCCTTCCTCCTTCACTTTCTGTTACTGCTTTCTTCTGGGAGCCATAAAAGTCCTTTGGCTTTTCCTCACATAACCTCTGGGGCCTCTGGACCCTCTAAGAATAAGAAATTGCAAGTTGCTTGCAAAGAGGTCATAGTCACAGAAGAGCAGGACAGCATCTGCTCCCTGGAGCATGGGGTGGGGTAGCATGGGGCAAAGCCCCTCTGGGTCCCACCCGGGGCAGGGCCTGAACTCTGTAATCTCTCCTGGGCCAGCTGGGCTCGAGTCCCTGCACTGCTGGGGCTTTCTCTTTCTTACGGCTCGGAAGGCTGAGGCTTGGTGAGGGTAACTGGCCCATGGTGACATGGTGAATCTGGGGCAGGGATGGGACAAGGCACAGTGTCCTGATCCTGACCACAGGCCCACCTCCTGTACTGGGCATTGTTGTGTGAGATCTGTGTACTTTTGGCCTGATTTTAAATGAACACCTGTGAGTTGTTAGTACTTAGCCCACATTTTCAGTAGAGGAGTCCCTGTATTTTTTTGGGCATTGCTGGGGAATGGAACCTGGGGCCTCACACATGGAAAGCAAGCGCTCTGCCGCCCTTATCTTCTGCATGTGCATGTGTGCGTGTGCGTGTGTGTGTGTGTGTGTTGCTTCTTCCTGCCTCCCATGCTTTTGTTGGATGCTCTTAGCCACCACACAAATAAACTTGTTTTTCTCAATATTGTGCAAGTCTCAAGACATGAAACTCCAAGCTTGCCTCATCACAGAGATCAGTATCTTGTTTATTTTGCTAGAGGACAGTCATATTGAAAGTCACCAGCATTGTGCTGGGACAGGTGGAGGCAGGAGGCTCCTGCTCCCGGGCAACCTGGTGGCCCACTGTCCAGGTCCAGATGGGGGAGCTCATGTTTGTGACAGCGTGGAGGAGCCAGCCTCGGAGCAGGACAGAACCCTCCCTCTCCCCTGTCCCCGTCAGGTCCGGGCTGGTGGCCAGATCACTCACAGGAGACTCGACAGAAAGCACTCGGTCCATGTGCAGCAGGCTTTACAGTGAGAGGCTTCCCTCCTAATACCACTGTTCTGTGGGGCAGGGGAGGTGTCTTCATCGGTAGGGAAGTGTTAACTTTTTCTTCTAATTTTTTGCAGTAGTGGGGATTGAGCCTAGGGCCTCTGCACCGAGGTACATCCCCAGCCCTTTTTTCAGTCTTTATTTTTGAGACAGAGTCTTGCTAAGTTGCTCAGTTGCCCAGGCTGGGCTTTAACTTGCCATTATCTCGCCTCAGCCTCCCAGAGTGCTGGGATTACAGGTGTGCGCCACCACTTACAGCCAGGAGGTAGAATTTTAATGGGTTGGAAGTAAACTAAATTTATCTAGCAATTTAATTTTGTGCATGCAGACCCTAGGATAGCGTCCCTGCCCCGACATCCCAGAACCATGCTTATTCTACTCTTCAGGATGTGGCGGCCGCCGTGGTTGCTGCAGCAGGCCCCACCTCAGGGAGTGACTTGCTCAGCGGAGTTTCGCTCCTCCCCACTGCCATCTCAGATATTCCTCCCATGGGGCTGAATGGCCCCCAGCCCCGTGTCCACTGGTTACTCAGTCCTGGGAGGGAGCACGAGGTTCAGGGCAGCCCTGGCCCGAGGTCGTTGCGTGGGTCTCACCGGAAGTGGCTCTGCTGGCACAGGGAAGGGAGGCGGCGCCCCACTCGTGCTCCTACACAGCCAGCCCAAGGCTCTGCCTGACGACCAGTGGTGAGGCAGAGGAGGCAAACGTCACAGCACATTAGGCTGGGTGTCTTTGGAAGGAAGGCAGGGACACCATACGGCCGGGGACAGCCCTATGCTCAGAGGGGGACGTACACAGACGAGTGCGTACCCCGTGTGTGCCTTGCCATGAGAGTTCTTGTGTGTCACGGGGAGGAGGGCCACTTAACCTGGGCCCTGACAGATGGAAGCCACTGCCTTCTTTTTTTGACCGTAGCAGCCTTTATTATGGGGAGGATCTGCTGGGCTGTCTTGGAACAAAGGAGAGAGACAGCGAAACCACTGCCTTCTGATGTCGAACTTACCTACAAGGCAGAGCACATCCCAGAAAACACATGCTCAGTCAGGGACTTACAGGCATTTATGAGGTTTAGCTCCCTGCAGGAAAGTAGGGGAGCAAACCTGAAAAGGATAATGGGAGTTGTCTCCGTGATGGCTCTGGGGCTCAAATTCCCACCCAGGGTGCTTTGCGTGGTTGCCACAGAATTAGGACGAAATGGGAAAAGTCCAGTTTGAGAGTCAGAATGTATTTTGCTTCAGATACATGTGCATGTGTACCTTTGGGGAAGACTGCCCTCTGAGGAAGACTGTACAGTTTGTTATAACAGAAGCAGGAACTAGAGGTAATGGCCTTTTCGGTGAGAAACTAGCAGCATCATTTTGGACCCTGGGGCTTTCCGTCCTCAGGGAGGTGGGCAGGGCTGTGCCTGGTCCACACGGCTATAACTCGTCCATCATGGCGAGCAGGTCATCCCCTTTGGTGGTGCTCTGCCTCGGCTGCTCTGTGACCTCAAGCTCTCCCATGATCCGAGCCAGCTCTTCATTCCGCTGCTGGTCCTGTTAGAGAAACCAGATGGGGAGGGAGGAAGAGGATACGTCAGGAGGCTGCCCTTTTGGGCAGCAGGTACTGCATCTTCTGGTCCCAACCACGGGCATGTGTTTCAGTTGCTCACCTCTTTGTAAAAAGAGGGACAGTAGTAGCAGTCTGACTAGAGATAAGGAGATCTGTGAAGTTCAAGGTTACTACAAGACGAGGAGAGGAGTACGATTAGACCCTGTGAGATTCTCAGTACGCACCTGCACAGCCTGTATGTTGATAACTTCGTAGGATAATTCCTCGGGCCTGCAGAGCGCCGCGTGTCTGAGTGAGACGGTAAAGAAATGGGCTCAAGGTCAGCAAGCTGCCTCTTCATACTTTGCCAACCTATTTTTTTCTGTCTCATTTTGCTGTTTCCCTGTACCTTTCCCTCCCACCTCCAACCAAGGCTTCCTACACTCCAGAAAGTCAGGCCTCTTTCTGTCTCTGGTCTCTGCATGCCTTGAACTCTGCTAGGAATGTTTCCCCCCTCCCCTGCTCGGCAAACTCCAAGGTTCAGCACATGCCAACCCCTGCACCTGGCTGGTGCCAACTAGAGTATTCTCCCACTAAGCTGCGAGTGAGGTGAGGGCAGACTCTAAGTCCTTACACTCCAACTTTTTGTCCCTGGCACTTAGCGTGGTGCTCGCCACACAGAAGGGTATAGAAGAATTTCCTTTAATAACTGGGGAAACAAGAGGCAGCCTCTACTTCAAATGCTCGGTTCTGGGGAGAATCACAGGAGATAAAGCATCCAGAAGTACATAGGGGGCCGGGCATGGCAGTGTACTCCTGTAATCCCAGCACTCGGAAGGCTGAGGCAGGAGGATTGCTGTGATTTCAAGCCAGACTGGGCTACATAGTGAGTTCAAGACCAGCTGACTACACAGTGAAATCCTGTCTCAAAAAACTAAACAAACAAACC